GTTTTAGAGACTGGTAAATGGGACAAGACTGACACAGAGAAGTTTCACTTAAATTTCTGTTGTCACGGCGCCAGGCAGTAGTAGGCATTAGTGGAAACGTAGAACTTGTCTCCTCGCTGGTCTGTAAAATGTGAAAATGTTTGTACATAATGTTTTTAATCCTGACATTTAAAGGATGGTACGTAAGTGCCAAAATTACACGATCCTGATTGTCACAGGAAATCGTAGATCCAATACAATCCGTTCTTGACATTGACACAACCTTGGCCAATGCTTTCCCAGTGACATTACGAGGATAACCCCGTTTTCTGAAATAATTACATAAATTCCTTGCCTGGTTACGGAAATCAGTATCATTGCTGCATTTATTGTCCACTAAAATTCCGACCGGTCACAGAATAGTGCTATTTGGGGTTCTCCGAAAATGTGTCCATCTTAGACTGTTTTGAGCTAGGATTAAACACTAGTTGAACTGCGATGTTAAAACATCATATTGGTAACAAAATATCCATACGTCAAAATTGTAAAATTAATGATATCGTCATAAAAATATGTAAATCTGATAGATATCCACCCATGGTACCTTTATATAACATATCAAAGATGTTGGACAAAGTCAAAAATATTAAAAATTACAAAAACAAATGCCAAAAATAGATTAGAATAAATTAATAATATCATGTCAAAATGAACAAATCCAAGATACTTACATATAACATATCAATGCAATCAGTAAAGACTGTTCAATCAACAGAGGTGTCAGCCTCACAAAAAGTGGTTTATTGCTATGTAAGAAATGTGAAAGAATTTGTTTTCCTGTAGTTGACAATCTAACAACTACTGTTGATCAGTTTGATGGCAGTATAGATACTAATGGTTCAACAGCTTGCATTACCCATATTATTGTCATCTGATGCATATACACTGATTCAGAAGATGAACTGTGATGGTGAAGGATGCCACTTTCAATTGTCACTGAGGAAGCAAGTGGAAATTGACTACTTGAACTGAAATTGATCAATCACAGGAAGAGAATTCTAAGAGTGAACCACCAATGATTATCAATTGTTGGCGATTCTCTTATTGGAGATGTTAAATCAGAAACATTGGTCAATACTGATGTAGTACTACCTATAAATGGTGCAATGGTTCCGAACATTGGTATTGCAGTGAACGATATGCTTGATTACGTCATGTAGTTGTGCACTGTGGCACAAATTGGATTAATGTGCATTCACACCACAGCCAACAAATGCGAGACAGTTATAGAATCAATCAAGACTTACAATGAGAATGTTAATGTGTATGTGTCAGGCCCATGCCATGATTAGATGGTATTCCTATGTTGAATGTTGTTTTGAGCAAAAAAGCAGACGAAATGATTTGTACATATATCAATAACCAGGACCAGTCGGCCAATTTTGAATTAGATTTAAGCAGAGGGTTTTCAACCCACCTATGCATTTAGTTCATACCCACCATAGACTCTGGTCAGTCAAAATGACAATTTTGAACTTCAGGCATTAATCTCTGATTCAGCCAATGGCGGAGTGGGAAAACTAGGTCAAGAAAAGCCCATGACCTCACAGATATTCTTGCACGTCACATAATACATGAAAAAAGTCAAGTGGTCAGTGTCATCTTGCCTTATGTTCATCCGCCCTGTTTTCTTTGTATGAACTAGGTGAATAGGCAGGTTGAAAATCCTCTGCCTAAATTCACTACAGTCAATTACCCACCATAGACTTTGGTCAGTCAAAATGACTATTTTGAA